GTGTCAGCAGGATTCGGTCTGTCACATAGAGAGGCGATGTAGCCCGTGTTCAAAAGCACGAGCTTCAGGACTCGACTGTCTAGGTGGGAAACCTGGGCCACCTGCTCATCAGTTTTGTGATCTGGAGCAAGTTGCGCAACCTCGCTGGGCCTCGGGTTCCTCGTCTGTAAAAGGGCAATGGCTCATTTAATACATCCTATCAAGTACTCAGAACAGTGCCCGCCCCACAACAAACGTTATTCATATAAACAGTAATGACCACTGTCACCAAAGTGGGGGAAAAGTCTTTTGAAATGCTCAGCTGCCTCCCTGCTCCTGTCTAGTCCTCATGAACAATATCCTGCATAGGAAATGTGCACCACCCCAGAGCTGCTGCTGACTGGGGTTGAGAACCACATAGTCTGAAGCCTGGTTCTGTCACTTACGAGTGGTGGGACCCCGGGCAAGCCTGTGGAGTGGGGACATTAGCACCCACCTCCGGATGTCAGCGGGGTTCAGGCGAAGCAACTCATGCACATGCTCAGCGTGCCCTGGCCCTCGTCAGTCAGTGTGAGCTACATGGGAACTGCTGTCATGCAGGATTTTCCTTAATGACTTCATCCTTCAAAGGCAGCATGAAGGACTCTAAGTCACGAGAATGTGAAAGTCTTCTGTTTGCGAGAGATCTGTTTTTCACAATTTCTAACCACATCAGCCAAGACGTCGAATGGCAAGGGACTGGTGCTTATGTGGTCTGGAACAGTCAGTCTGATACGTGGGGAAAGGTCCTCTATGATGTTCTCGGAGAGATCTGAGGGGGGTCGTGTAACAGGAAAAGAAGAATGGAAGGCTTCCTGTTAACACCCTCTGTAGTTTTCCTCTGGTCAAGATCAGTCTCCAAAGGCCATAAAGAGGTGTCCGCGGTGACTTGATGGCCCACCATCTGCTCAAGAGCAGCGTGGCTTGCACAAGGGAAGGCTCTTATGACCATCAGGGGCATGGGTTTGAGGCGTGGTTTGCCAAGATCACCTTACAGACAGTCATTTCACGGCCCTCACCTCCGTCCCCAGTCAGCATCGATGCAGCGAGCACCTTCTAAGGGCTGAGCAGTTTTCTGGGCACAAACACCACTGGCTCCCCTGGAATGGACTCGGGGAGACCGGGGATTAGAGAATGGGGGGTGAGGGCAGGGGACAAGGACCTTCCAAGAAGGTGACATCTTAGCTGAGACCCGAACGACAAGAAGAAGCTAAGTCAAGACCAGAGAAGAGCCGTCCAGACAGAGCTGGGGCAGACCTATGATCGGCAGCCCTCAGGCCGGTGCCTGGTGTCAGCGGACGTGCTGCATGTCCTGGGAACCCGAGCCCCCTTAATGTCACATCCGGTCCTCCCACACGGACGAGGCCGACGTGGTTGGGGTTCTATGAAGAGTGAAGGGAAGGAGATTCAGAAGAGGCTTAAGATGGCTCTGCTTTCTTTTACCTTTTCCACTGAAAAATAGAGGAAGGGAAGAAAGAGGGAGGGACAGTAATACTAAAAATAATAACAAAATAAAAGAGGCTTAAGAAACCTATCCCCCAACTGCAACGTATGGAACTGATTTGGATCCTGAATCCAGTACAAAGAAAGAAGTCAGCTGGGGAAACCGAACTGCTATTAAGGAATGCTGGAGTCTCAGGTGTGATGATGGCATTGTGCTTATGTTCTTTTATGAGCTGAACCGTGTCCTCCCCAATTCGTATGTTGAAGTCCTAGCCCCGGCTGCCTGAGAATATGAATGTATTTGGAGAAAGGGCCTTTAGAGAAATAATTAAGTTAAAACAGGGTCATTAGGGTTGAGCTCTAATCCAACCTGATTGGTGTCTTTGTAAGAAGAGGAGAGTAGGACACAGACAGAGGGAGACACACACACACACACACACACACACACACACACACACGGATGCACAAGACAAGAAGACAGTCACCTACAAGCCTGGGAGAGAAGCTCAGAAGAAACCAAGCCTGCCCACATCTTGAACTTGAACTCCCGGCCTCCGGAACTGTGAGAAGATAAAGGTCTGTAGTTTGGGCCACCCAGATGGTGGTATTTTGTGAGGGCAGTCCTAGCGAACTAAAACAGTTTACAAAGAGTCTGCGTAGCTTAGCATCATACACTAAAATAGTCACAGATGGAAGGAAGGGCTCTCCGGGACAAGCTCCAAAATAATCTTCGAAAGGGAAGGAAAGGGCAGGAAGGGGGTTGTGGATGAAACGAGATTGGCCATAAATTGAGTAACTGTTGAGGCTGAATGGTGCTCATTTACTATTCTCTCTACTTTTGTATATTTTGAACATTTCTCTAACAGGAAGGTTTTTTTAAAAACTGAAGAGGAAACGTATCTTCTAGGTCATCCGCCTTTCTGCAAAACTACCGGAGTACAACAAACTATAGGCATTTACTTCTAAAATTCTGACGAAACAAACTGTAACAACAAATGAAAGGAAAGAGTTAACTGACTTTGAAAACCTTGGGGGGCTGAGCTCTCCCTGGACGGGCTGACTTCGCCCCGTGGATTCTCCTTGTTGGGATTCAGCTCACCAGCCCCGACATACCACACTCTTTTAAGAGGCAGCTATGCACGCCGTCCTCCCCCGGAGCCCGCTCCCTTCGGTTTAGGAGCTCCAACCCATGGGACCCTGAGGACCCAGTTCAAATGCTCTTCCTGGAAGAATCCTTCCTTCCGCAACACCACTGCTTCCCTACAGAGACAGGCTGGTTCCCCTCTGCTGCGGCCTCACCCATCACCCTGTGGTGTGATGATTTACTGATGGAACGTATCTTATTTATCTGGGCCGCAGAGAGCACGGCTAATCCCTCGCTCGCATGAACAGATCTTCAAGTATTTGAAGAATAAACTGAACATTTAACGGATGGCTACTATATGTGAGGTGCTCAGCTACCTGCTAAGGCCTTAGTAACCCACGTTTAATTGTACAGTTGTTGTAACCCCCATCTGGGGCTGTTGAAGAATCTGGAACTGAGGTTAAGTCAGCGGCAGGGCGGGGGGCAGGGACCGTCTCTGTGCCACACCAAGCCTACTCTTCTCTGCTCCTTCAGCCAATCCCCCGGCTTGTGTGTGAATGTCTCCCAATCTAGTGTCCCTTCCCCACGGCCCCTAGCACGGCACTCCTGGAGGCAGGGGACCTGGACCACACACACCCAGCGCTTCTACTAGCTCTGAGATGATCCTGGACCCTGGAGCAGCCAGATCCAGGCCCTTCTCTTAGCTCTCCTGCTTACTGGCTTACTGGCCCTATGTCTTGCCCCAATTACTTAACCTCTCTGTGCCTCTGTCTGCCTTTTCATCACAATTTCACTAAGTGTCCCACTGGTTGCTGTGCAGATTAAAGGGATTATGTCTGTGTAAGACATCAGCACTGGGTTGGGCACACGTTAAGTGCCCTCGGTGGCATTTCTTGTCTTGTTTTTGGCAGATGGTGCATGCAGTTAGATAGCACTCCCAAGTCTGTCTCTGCCTGGGGTCCCGAGTGAGGCCAAGCCATGCCTCCCTATCCTCAACTTGTGCAGACGGATTTTTATATACAAGTGTGGGACCTTATAATCATTCCCCATTGTTTTCATTTTTGTAAGATTCTGCCTGTTTCTGCCTTTTGGATCCGATCCGTCTCCCACATGCTCACTCTTCTCCTGTTCCTGAGTTGTCTGTACATCTGGATCTTCAGGCCACCAACTGCACTGTTGAACAGAAGAGTGTGTAACATGGTGTCTTTAGTCGTGGGAGTGAGTGTGGAGAAGCAGGAGGGTGCAGGACAGCCTGCCTGGTACAGAGCAGGTGCCCCCGCTCACGCTCCCCGACCCGCACCCTACACATCACCAGTAGCAGCATAAACCGCAACAACCTTGCTGGAGGACAATCTGACAATATGGACAAATAGGCATACCAAATGTTGACTCTGAAATTCTAGTCCTGGAAATTCGGCCCAAGGTAGTCATTAAAGAGAAAAACAAATTCTAGGCGAAAGATATTTATAGCATCATTATTTAAAATGCTGAAAAACTGTAAATAAGCTAAATGGACTACAAAGAGGAATGGTTAGATAAACAATAACAGAGTAATAACAGCAACGTGGCCCTTAAAAAGATTAAATGTAGTGACTACGCACCTTTATGTTAGTGAATATAAGATTATTTAAATTAAGTCACCATAGATATACACACTCTGCACCTAAATAAAAACTATGTGCACACAGATGAAGGAATGGGAAGATAAACAAATAGGAAATTATAGTTACGGTGAGATTGTAGATGCAATTTTCAGTTGTGTCCCATTAAAACGCACAGTAATTTATTTGGTTATAAGCAACCCCAGTGTTTGTGCGTATTCAAACACACATTTTATGTGTTTATTATTTATGTGTGCATCTATAATATGAAGGGAGATTTAAATAAGAATCAAGGACGGGCAATCTGGAAGACAGAGCCTTCGCCAATGCGGGATGACTTCAATTAAAGGCAAGAAGCATCTGTCTCAAGATGAGATCCAGTTCCTCTCTTCAAGGAACTTGGAATTCAATGAGTTGTTGATGTGCCAGACTCCCTTCCCACGGCCACACGTGTGTCTCATCACAACCCTTGCCAGCCAGTCACAAGAGTCCTGAGGAATGGGCGTCAGGATCGCTCAGTGGTGCAGGGCATGGGCTATGGGGCTCCTGGCCCTGCTCTGACACCTACCTACCAGCAGGGGGCCTCGGGGGAGCCCTGCCCCTGTGATTTTCACTCTCTGTGTCCAGGAGGCAGGATGAGCTGGGGGTAGCTCCGGGGCCCATCGGAAAGGCCGATGTGAAGCATGGCATCATAAACGCCCAGTACACCCTGGCTGCTGGTATAACCACGTGCCCCACTGCCTCTCCAGATGGGCATAAATTCTGAGCTCAGAAAGGTAAAGCAGGACAGAAGGAACAGCACACTTGTGGTGAGAACAGTAAGGGGGATTCCACTCGGCCGTGCCGGGACTTACCGTAGGTGAACATGCGCGGTGAGGTCAGCTCAATGTTGGGCAGGGCGCCCAGGTGGTTGAGCACGGCGCACCGGTAGCCATTTTTCTGGGCATAGTCGACGAAGGTGCGGATGTACTGCTTCTCGCTGTGATTGGCAATTCCAGGGCAGATGACCATGGTAACGTCATCTACAGGGTGAAGAAAGAGATCCCAACATAGCCGATGAGTAGTGATGATAAATGGCCACGATGACACGTCACTGGCTTAGAAAACAGTAGGAGGGAACCTGACATACATCTTTTTACTCAATTCTCTGGGAAGAAGCATCTTTCCCTTCTGGCTGGAGTTGTCCCGATCAGTGCCTCTCAAACTATTTATGGTGAAGGGTCAGTTGTTAAAATTTCCGATCGTGGACAGATAATTTTGAAAAATGCGATAAAAATTAATTACTAGAAAGATGAAATGAAAACAATTTAAATCTCAATTTTTTATTTTTTTATTTTTTTTAAAGATTTTTTTTTTTTTTTTTTATTTGAGAGAGAGAGAGAGAGAAACAGCATGAGAGGGGAGAGGGTCAGAGGGAGAAGCAGGCTCCCCGCTGAGCTGGGAGCCCGATGCGGGACTCGATCCTAGGACTCTGGGATCATGACCTGAGCCAAAGGCAGTCGCCTAACCAACTAAGCCACCCAGGCGCCCCTCAATTTTTTATTATTAGATTCAGCAGATACAAAATTACTCAGCCACACTGCTGTACGAGTTTCCAAACCTTACTTTTAATTTCTGTATGAATGACAGGATGCATGAGCAGAAAAATAAAAAGTAGTGTTTGCACAGACTTCTTTGATCAAGCAATTTTACTTCCAGGTATTTGTCTACAGATACACCTGTACATAAGCAGAACAAGATATGTACAGTGCAGGTGATAATGGCAAAAGAATGAACACAAGCTAAATGCCCAGAAACAGAGGTCTGGCTAAATAAATTATTGCACATCCAAGGGATGAAATGTTATGTAGCCCTTAAAAATAATGAGAGACACCTTTACATGTACTGATAGGATGAGCTCTCCAACATGTATTAAGTGGAAAAAAAGCAAGGTGAAGAAAAGGGTTATGATATGCTGCCATTTGCATGGAGGGAAAAAAAACATCTATGTTTAGAAATGCATCCACTAGCTCTGGAAACATACACGAGAAACCTAACAGTGGGTACCACTGGGGAAGAGCATGGGTGGGGAGTAGGAGGGGAAGAGAGACTTATACTTTCTCTGTATTATCTTTTTTTTAAAAGATTTTATTTTATTTATTTGAGAGAGAGAGACAACAGTGACAGAGGGAACACAAGCAGGGGGAGTGGGAGAGGGAGAAGCAGGCTTCCCGCGGAGCAGGGAGCCCGATGCGGGGCTCGATCCCAGGACCCCGGGACCATGACCTGAGCTGAAGGCAGACGCTTAACAACTGAGCCACCCAGGCGCCCCTTTCTCTGTACTATCTTAAAGGTACCTTTTGAATTTTTTATCATGACCATGAATTACCTACTGAGGGAGTGGCAGGTACTCTGAAGGACTAACGCAGGAAGGTATGATGGATTTATTGGGAAGGGAGCACTAGCGAGGGGAGGCAGGGGCCGTCCCTCTGAGGAGGTGACATCTGAGTTGAGACCCTGAGTTGAGACAAGAGGAAGCAGCCATGCAGGGGTGTGGGGATGAGTGTTCCAGACAAAGGGAATATCAACTAAACCTTTGTCACCAGCTCGTCAGCAGTGCTGGTTACTGTAAAGAACTGGAAGGTACATCAGGTTTACTGGAATTTCCTCCCAAGTAGTTACCGAGCTCCTATAAAAACCAAGGTGCCTTGGGGTGCCTGGGTGGCTCAGTTGGTTGGGCGTCTGGCTCTTGATTTTGGCTCCGGTCATGATCTCAGGGTCGTGAGACAGAGCCCCTCATCGGGCTCCACGCTCAGCGGGGAGTCTGCTCAGGATTCTCTCTCTTCCTCTGCCCCTCCCCCACCCCTTGTGCATGCATGCTCTCTCTCTGAATAAATAGATGAAATCTTTACCAAAAAAAGCACAACCCCCCCCAAACCTAGGTGCCTTGCACACTACAGAACGGAGCAGACACGTCCTCCTCTGCTAGGAGTGGCAGTCAGAGGCAGGTGCCGTCCTAAGTCCACTCGCTCGTGAGTCCTCACTGCGAAGCTCTTTATCACGGCTGCTTACTATATAGGCTGGACAGAGCAATGCCGAGTTCCAGCAGCGGCAGCGATCGGAGTGGTTTCTGACAGACAGGTATCCCAGAGCCCTGCATAAATGGACCCGAATGTGTCTTTTTGTCCACGGCAACCGACGCAGAGGGTGCCCGATAGCCTCCGCTAGCTGCTATTGCCCAACAGACAAGACCACCCGCTCCCGTATCTCTGAGCTTTAGTTTCTTCATCGGCAGAGTCGGGACAATAAGGTCCCGACCTCTCAGGCTTGCTGGAAGGCTTAACTGAGGTAACAGTATCTATAAAGCTCTTAGATGAGTCTGGCTTCTATTGCTGTCATCAAACCAGAGGCCTGGTCCTGAGGGGCCTGGGCTCCACGTTCTCCCTTGTCCCCTTACACTGAGCTTCTGTATTTCTGAGAGGACTAACAGTTGCATCCAGCATTGCTGTCTGAGGGGCCCAACGTGGTGACTGACAAGCACGTGACAGCACGGATCCTTGCGGGCTGCCCGAGACAGGTACCGCGGCGGGCTTCCTCCCGGCCCCCGGGTGTGATGCGGGGTCGGCAGCACGAGCGCGTACACCATGCTCCCTCACTGCCCAGTGTCCCCTTTCCAGGTGACGGCCCCATCGTATTCCTGCGCTAGCTCACCTCCAACACAGTGCTCAGCCAAGGGCTCGAAGAGGTCAAAGGTCGAAGTGGCTCCGTCGGACATGGTGATGAACTTGCGGTGCCCGTAGGGGTGTGGCGACCTCACCCTTCCCATCTTCCCATACAAGGCGGTTTGGATGTGTCCACTTTTCCCCCAGATCAATGGTGGAATGTATCTAAGAAAGCAAGAGAGGAGAGCTCAATTTCCACCACCCTCCTTGAACAATGCATGGAGACATTTTCGAGCAAACGTCTTTCAACCTACTTGAGTTCTTTTCCTGACAAGTTCTGCATGCGAAGCGTAGATATGGGATTTTCTTTACCTTACATCCATGCCATGATTGGCCTCCTTTCCCCATTTACTAATACAGCCTGTATCAGATTAGCTTTAGAAATCACTGGAACATGCTTATACAGACAGGATTTCAAATTTACAGTGTTAAGTAATTCAATATGAGTTATTTCTGTAATGTAGATGAAAAAGAAAGCAACTAATACATTTTGAACACATGCTACGTGACAGAGTTAGCCTCATTATCAAATGAGCTAATGTATATAAAATAGTTAGCACACTGCCTACACTCAGTAAATGCTCACTTCTTTGCCTTCCCCTGACAAGACCGGCCCCAGCTACAGTGGTTACCCTGTTAACCAAACCTGCTGCTCTCCCAAGAGCCTGTAAGTGCCTTGTGTGGGTGTTGCAGGGTGCCCTCTACGCTCTGGAGAACGTGCTGGAAGGGCAGAGCAGTGTAAATATTTGTTGGGCTAAATGAAGGGTAAAGGCTTGTTAGCCTAAGCAAGTCATGACGCCACCCTAACAACCGTCTTTCGTGAAAACACAGAGTGACTCTGGTCCCTGGGAGTCAATGCAAAAATCCCAAACTAGTTAATTACTGGGAAAACAAGGTACTCTGTTACAACTAAGAAATGATTATAGTTCACAACCACAGCACAGGATGATCCCATTTCCTGAAACTGCCACTGTTTTCTCTTGCCCAGCTTTGAGCCCAGGCCTGGTGGTTGGCCAGGATTTGTGTTCTATGTAAACTAGAGTCATAGAACATAAAATATGGTAATGACATCCATCCTTCATCTCTGTATTCTAGCACAGTGGTGAGCATTTTTTTAAACATTTATTTTTAGAGAGAGAGAGAGCAGGGGGAGGGGCAGAGGGAGAGGGAGAAGCGGACTCCCTGCCGAGTGGGGAGCCCGATGTGGGGCTCGATCCCAGGACCCTGAGATCGTGACCTGAGCCGAAACCAAGAGTCAGAGGCTTAAGTGACTGAGCCACCCAGGTGCCCCGTGGTGAGCATTTTCTTAAGGGTTTACCTTAACCTATTTCCCAATTCATGCCTATCATTTCTATCATACCAGTTGATCCTAAAAACCCTCCTTAAATTAAACCAGATTTACTTTTTTTTTTTTTTACTAATTCAGGAAGTCTCCACAAATTTAAGAGAAGTGAAGCTATCACCTTAAGCAAGCCAATTCCCAGGCAAACTTCCTCAGTGAGGGTGGGGAGGAGAGGAAAGATTATTTTAAGACCTTACGACATGAAGCCACTTGCCAGCATGACACCACAGGTACAAATCTTCGTGCCAAGGCGACGGCATTTGGGAGGCAGAGAGAAGCGTTTATAAGAGATGAGTGGATTATGACAGCAACAAAAAGCAAGCCTATAAAAATAACATCAATTGGACAACTCAGTATTATACAAGATTTAGCTACAGCATTTATAAAGGGTTTCAGACAATAAATTATGCATAGGGGGAGAGAAGTGATCCAAGAAACCAAATTCCTGGTTGCTCCCAGAGGAAAATTCAAAGATAATTTTGTTTATAATATAAATTAAAAATAGAAATGTGCTGAGGTTAAACAGGACAGAAGAAATATGAATTAAATTTCATATACGTATCTTCTGATCTTGTTTAGAATACAATATAATGTCAGAAAATGACAAAAGAATAAAATAAAATCTTCTCTTGGCTAGTCCCAGATTTCCCAGGTAATGATGACACGTGTGGTCATCCTGATACTGCCCCCGAGATTCAGGGTCATGTCACCTCTCTGAGGTGGCCTCCAGCCTCTACTCTCCGGCCTCCGCCTGCCCATGGAGGGAAAACAAAACACGTGAGCCCGGCCATCCCCCTCCACAGCACGGGTCCTAAGTTGGCCTAGGAGGCCTGCCATGCCCTTCCTGCTTACATCTTTCTGTGTAAGTTCCGATAAACCTGAGCCACTGGCCCATCTCCACTCCAAAGAGGTACGCCTCCTGCTGCGCTATTTTTATCCCAAGAGCCTTTGCTCAAGCTGTTGCTTCTGCCTGGAATACTCTCCTTTTCTCCTTGCACACCCAATTTTTCTGCTCCCCAGCTACTATCTGTTTTTCAAGACTCCCTTCCAATCAGGCTGCTGGGGGAGCTGACCCTTCGCTGTGCCCCCCCGGCAAAGCACCCTGTGCATAGCTCCGTCCTGGCATCCAGAGGGCCTGATTGATATGAGGGCTCTTTTCAAGCACATTCCTCCCCACCACCTGCAGGAGCCAGGCTTGTCCATCTTTGCGTCTATCCCCGGGGCGCTCCACACACTGAGTATGAAGGGAGGACGGCTGGATGAACAGAGAGCAGACCCACATAGTAGATCTGAGAAGGCACAGAAAAAATAACATGCACCCTAATAATATGAGTTGGACTATAGCATGATTGGTGTTTGGTTACTGTCCTCTTTCCAGGCCACCCAGCACCATTCTCAGAGAAAATCCTGAGGTGGGCGTGTGTCCGTGCACGTGTGCACATGTGTGTGTGAGAATACGTGACTGCCTCAGGATCACTTGGGGACTTTCTCACTTCAGTGTGAGGTCAGTTGTGCACAGTGGGCGTTTCCCAATCTTTAATTTTGTGACAATACCACCTACTGATAAAACGCCATTTTCAGTGAACTTCACAATAACACGACACCAGAGTTTACCAAATTGAATTTTTAGACAGCATTTACTGGGGCGAAGTTTTGCTGTGTGTTTTCATTTGTTTATATAAGTTATCCACAGGTCACACGAAAAAATTAAAAAACGAAAAACTAGAATGGGTATAACTGGTTACATGGTTTGGGTCAAGGAGGAAATACGGACCAAAACAATAGAATATTTTGCAATTTGTATAAACATATAAGCACTTAAGAGATGCTGGGAAGTGTACATGGAGGCATCGGCTTTACTCTGGGTCTGGCCCTTCAGAGAGAAGCCTAGCAGCTTCTGCCTTTACCTCCTTGGGAACCTGGCGCCATGCTCTAAAGGAGCCGGGGCTTGACTACCCGGTGACGAGAGGCATCCCCTAGGGGGCTAGAGACACAGAACTGAGCGCTGTGTGTGTTTTAAATTCCCAGCACCATCAAACTGTCTTCCAAAACAGATGGACCAATTTACATTTGCAACAGTTTTGCACGGAAGTACCTGTCTTCCTCACCTTCATCAGTAATTAGCACTGTCAATCTTTCACATTTTGGCCATCATGATTGGCAAAAAAATGGGCATTTAACTTCAATTTGTGTTTCTTAAGATGGACCCAATCTGTGGAAAACAAGTTTCTTATTTGAATTTGCATCTTCCCAATTCATATGTTTACCGGGCATGCCTATTTTTCTTTTTTTTTTTTAAAGTTTTATTTATTTATTTGACAGAAAGAGACACAGCGAGAGAGGGAACACTAGCAGGGGCAGTGGGAGAGGGAGAAGCAGGCTTCCCACC